TATGACTTGCTGACAGCTTTGAACTCTGTCCTTGTGCCAAGATGGAGTGCAGCCATCTCTAAGGGCACCCACACCTGGTTTCTTTCCAATTCTGGATTCTGCATGTGGCACTAGAGGCTTCAGTACTGGGTCAATCCCATCCAGAATCAGCCAGACTCCTCCATGCACTGGCCATGTTCTTGCTATGGGGGGGGGGGGGAGGAAGGGAGAGGGAGAGAGAATTTGTCTACACTCTGTGCTGCCAGGATAAGAGTTCCAGGCAGGAGGAACAGCAAGAATTTGGCCCCACAGGTAAAGAGGTGAATGGGTCTCTCTCTCCTCTCTCTCTCTTTCTCTCTCTCTGTATGTGTGTGTGTGTGTGTGTGTACAGACAAATGAGGGAAGCTACAATCCCAGGATTCCCCAGTCTTTGATTCCCTGCTGATCTTAAATTTCAAGTCATGGATCCTCCAGGGTCTTGGAAGGGTTTTGGTTAACGTCCTGCTATCTTCTTCTCATCTAACTTTCTGGTTCATCCTCCTATCTTCTAAGCTGGTTGTGTGAGCTAGAAGCATCCCCTGAGCCTGCCAGCAGCTAGGTCAAGCAGACAGGATGCTTGGCTATCATCAGGATGTCCTGGCCCATCTTTACCCCATTGGCTACTATACTGCTTCACTGAGGGATAATGGTGTTCTGCTGGTGCTCCAACCCGAGACTTGCTCCTTGCCTCCAAAGGTGCTTCTGCTTCCCCTTCCTGCTCTTTCCTGCCAGGCTGGCACCTGGCCTGCCAACTTGCCCGTACTGCCTGGGTATGTGTGGTATTAGAAGAGAGTGAAATCATTTGGACACGGTGATGAAAGACTTAAACTAGCAAAGAAATGAAATGGAGCCCAAATAATTGAAATGAAGGGCAATCTGACCCAGAAAGCTGACCAAGGCCACTGTGACTTAGCTCCTGGAATTTGCTAACCACCAGCCTTGAGATAGCAGAATACCAAGAATTCACACTGCCCCTCCTTTCAGCAAGTCAGCAGGTGGTAAATGGGGTCCTTAAGAAATAAAGAGATAGCTGCAACTCCGGTTTGCCCAGACAAGATTAATTAGCACACCCAGAGGCCCTAAGGTCTGCTGACCCTAACTAACAGCGAGACCATCCACCCTCAAAGGGTCAATGGACAAAAGGATCACATCCTCTCCCTAAGCTTGTGGGTTTTGCCTTTAAAAAAACGACTGTGCCTGGAGAATGACACTTCTCTCTAGCCTGCGTGCCGAAGGGTCCCGTTTACACAAACGTTTCTTGTTCATAAAACCTCTTGCGTGTTACATCAACTGGACTGGCCATTGAGTTCTTGGGGGTACCGACCGAAACTGGGAGACTCCTCATTCTGAGGGTCTTACATTTTTGGAGGTCCCACCGAGATCTGGTCGACCTCCAGACTCCATTCCATTGCCAGTTGGAGGTAAGATAGGCTCGCAACATATATGTTTGATGTATGTCTGATGTGTCTGATGTTATGTGTTTTTGACTTGAGTTTGATTTGAATCTGTGCCTGCACAGGAATGACTGCCCCAGCTACAAAGGGATTTCAACTTACCTGACAACCTATGCCAAAATTAAGGTTTGTTTTTGTTGGGATAGTTCCTCATGTAATCCAGGCTGGCCTTGAACTCAGTATGTTGCTAAAGATAGCCTTGCACTCCTGATCCTCATGCCTTCATCTTCCAAGTTCTGGGATTTCAGCTGTGAGATGCCATACCCAGGTTACTTTCTTATTTTTGAAGCAGGTTCTCCTTGAGTTGCCCAGGCTGGCCTTGAACTCACTATACAACTTAGGTTGAGTCTGTACTTTCAATTTCCCCCTTTACTTCCCTTTGTAGTAGAGATTACAAAACAGACTGGTTGTGCTGGGGTGTTTGTTTTGTTTTGAGACAGGGTCTTGTGTATCTGAGATTAGACTTGGATTTGCTATGTACTGAGAGTGACCTCAGCAAATAGCTTCTGCCCCAACTCTCAAGTACTGGGATTACAAGCTTGTACTGCTTTCCCTCGCCTTGATTTTGAGGAGCCTTTAATACTATCCTTGCCTTCCGCTAAGTGCAAATATTCCTGAACAGCTAGCTACTTAGAAACTCCTTTTGCTAAATGATGTGATGGCTCTTGGGCCTGCAGGTAACAAAAATCAGGTGGGACCAGGACCTATGCCTTTGTTTCATGCATCTCCTTTGCTTTGTGTCACTTGTTTGCCTGTGCATGTATACAGATTAATAACTCAGTGACGAGTGTCTGAAGACTCTTCCTACTAAAGCCTAAAGGCAGAGCAAGAAGAGGAACTGAGAAACCTCAGCATTGGCTTTTACAGTGTCTTGCTCCAGACTCCTCCTAAAGTGTGCCTGAAGCTGTCTAGTCATTGTCCTAAGCTTGCAGTTACCTTGGATTCCAAAACATTGAGGCTTGAAAGGCATGTCACTCTATGATGACTCCAGAGCAGGACTGATTCTCTCCTTGTGTCTCTCTGCTTCTCTGTCTCCATCATGCTGGGGTCAAAGGCGAACATCACAATGCTCAGTTCCTTTTGTTTTTTTGATATCATGTCTAGTCTGGACTAGAACTTTTTATGTAGACCAGGCTTTTGTCAAACTCATGGCAGTCTTCCTGCTTTGGTCTCCTGAGTGCTGGAGTTACAGGCATAAGACACCATACTAGGCAGAAGTGAGTAATCTCATGGGAACCAAATTATACTCCTCACACGATGACAGTGGTAACTTCCTCCAACTACCATGAGAAGCAGATCTGATAGTAATCTACCACACAACATGTTGACCAAGACTCTTAGTTATGTTCTTCCCACACCCTGCCATATTTTTCAAACTTAAAACTCACTGGGAGTGGTGGCTCAAGCCTCTAATCCCAGAAGATGGGAGGCAGAGGTGTAGTGAGATAGTCCTTCTGTGGCACTGACCACGCCCATTGGGGGGGTGGAGCCATGGGCGGAAGTGACCTGTGGAAGGAGGTCGGAGGAAGAGCCGGGAAAAGCTCTCTTGCTGGCGTGACTTGGACAGGAGAGCATCCGGTGGAAATTGCTGGTGTTCATCTGTCTAGGCTGTAAGTTATTTCTCCCTGAATAAACATCTATTCGGCCTATTTGTTTATCCTGATCCTTATTTAACCGCAATACAGAGGCAGGAGGATAGCTGTAGGTTCAAAGCCAGCCTGGTCTACATAAGAAGTTTCAGGCTATCCAAGCTCTACATAGCAAGAACTTGTTTCAACAAAACCTCAAGCTTATATGTTAGTACCTCAAAGACAGACCTGGAGGGTTAGAGATGTTACTCAGTTGGTAGTATGCTTACCCAGAATGCACAAGACTTTGGTTCCACCCCCAACATAACATAAACTGGGCATAGTGGCACATGCCTATAATCTCAGCATTTCAGTGGTGGAGGCAGGAGGATCAGAAGCCCAAGTCATCCTAAGAGACATAACAAGGTCAAGGTCAATCTGGGCTAAATGAGACTGTTAAAAGAAGTGGGGGGGGCTTTGCTTAGGGTCATTGGAATCCTTATCTGTATTTCCCAACATGGCCCCATTGATGTAAATATATTTTTTTCCACTTTTCTACTGTTCTCTTCTTTAATTGGCACATTGGGTCAGGTGGTGTGGCCTAACCTGCTTAGAGCTGATGGAGTTGGCACTTTGCTCTGAAACTCCAAAATCAATTAAATATTTATCATGTGTATGCTACCCTGGACATTTAAAGACCATTTGTGTCAGGGTGGTGGTGGTGGCAAAGTCAGTGTATGCCTTTAATCCCAGTACTTAGGGAGGAAAACACAGATCTCTGTGAGTTTGAGGCCAGCCTAGTCTACGGAGCTAGTTCTGGGACAGACAAGACTACACAAAGAAACCCTGTCTCTAAAAAACCAAACTAATCAACTAACTAACTAACCAACCCAACGAACAATATAAATAAACATGGCAGTTGCCACGGTCTCAGAACTGGGAATGTTAGAGCTACCTTTTCCCTCTCTTCCCGTCTCTATCCCTCCCCCCTTCACCATCACCACCTCTTCCTTCCTTTAGACATGGTCTTGCTATATATACCTGGTCTGCATTCCTTCTGCCTCAGCTTTCCAAATACTGAGATTACAGGCATATATCACAAGCCTAGAAAAAAGGCATATTTTATGTTTAAGTTTTAAACAATTATTTATTTTTGAGACAGGGTCTTACTGTGTAGAGCAGGCTAGTCATAAACTCACAGAGATCCATTTGCCTTTATCTCCCCAAATGCTAGGATCAAACAGGTGTATGAACATCTCTGGCAAGCTTTCTTTTAAATCAAACACTTCTGATTTAAATCTGTGTGTTTTTGTTTGGGACAGGAAATCTGGTCTCCTATTGACAGTATGGACTGTGTTTGCTCATGCAAAGCACGGCTGTGGTGGTTGCTAACTCTGTTCACCCGATGGTTTTCTTTGGTCTACAGCTATCACAATCTTCCTTGGGGTTGGGTGCAAGGCTGGAAAAGTATATTCAATCTGAAAACTGGTGTGCCCTATGAATTTCAGTGGAGGAGTGAGTATGTGGAGGCGGCCTGGCGAGTCAGTCATTCTTGTGTGTAACTCAGAGTCAGCGGAGGCCAGGAAGCACTGCTAAGTGCTTAGAGAGGCATTCTGAAGAGGGTCCGAACAGACAGGCATCATGGTACAGGACTAGCTTCAGTACACTTGTGCTTTACTTTCTTGATGCCTCTGACTTTCTCTTCATCACTGAGTCTGGGTAACTCAGTGCAACCCTTTTTATTTTTTTTCCAAACCTGAAAAAAGGGCCAAGGTTAGCGGAGTATTATTGTGTTGGAGGCCCTTGATTCAGTCCCTAGTACCATATCGCCACTTCACCTGAGAACCCACAAGCTTTAGCTCAGGCTTCTCTATGGAGGAATCCAAACCCAGATAACATAGACGTGGCTCTAGAGGGGAGATTTTTAGAACACGGAAGTGTGCGGAGCATGGATACTCACTTGCTGTGGGCAGGGGTGAGGTACTGGGGTGTGGCAGAGGCAAGGCTGACTGACACAGCAGCTTCGGACCACAGGTTCTTCAAGTCAGCCTCCTGGGCCAACCGCATTAGCAGCACGTATCAGCTTAGCAGAGGTCCAGACTTGATTGCTCCCTCAAACACCTGAATTAGAGCATGGGGTGAAGCCAGCCCCTGTGCTGACCCAGCCCTGTGTCTGAGTCTCAGTTGGATAACATCTGAAAATGCTATCAATGTCTGGGTTGAGCTCTTCTGATCCGTATTGGCTTCTGCTTTTCCAGACAAAGCATTGTTTCTGTTTCTTCTGGAACCATTTTGAAATAAATCAACTGCAGCTTTCAATATTCCTTCAACCATTACAAATACACCCTTACAGAGAATGTTACATAATATAGCTTGACAGCTTTCTGCAGCTGACTGAAATTGTTCTGAGTACACAGAATCATAATGGCCATTATTTGAGTGTCAGAGAAGGATCTTGTCTTCATAGTCATTATCTGAGACATGAGTTGGTGGCTTTCCAGGATAGTAATAAAGAATGAAGCCTCATCAGAGAAAGGACTCTCGGTTCCAGCTGGCCAGCATTCTCCTTGGGATCTCCCAGCTGTCCCAGCTATTTCTTAAAAGATCCCTCCACTTAAGTTTGTTGATTTTCCTTCATATGTGAGACAAACGTGACTGGTATGTAAACGATATGGCTATCAGAAATAGCTCAAAAGAGGCAAGGGACAATCATTTTCAAAATAACTCTAAAGTGCCTAAACTCTAAAGTGCTCAGTTGATGCCTCATTCAAGACCTCTGTCCAAAATACTTTTTCCATTCTTTATGCATTGTGCATGGTGTTAGATTATTTTAGGGCAGTTGTAGAGAGGAATATTGTCTTTTTATGTGACCTGATACTTTTTTAAGGGATTTTTTTATTTATTACATATACACTGTTCCTCCTGCATGTACACCTGCCTGCCAGAGGAGGACACCAGATCTCATAGCAGATGGTTGTGAGCCACCACATGGTTGCTGGGAATTGAACTCAGGTCCTCTGGAAGAGCAGACAGTGTTCTTAACCTCCAAGCAATTTCTCCAGCCCCCCCCCTTTTTTTTTTAATCTTGTAATTTTTATTTATTTAATTTAAATTTTAGTCTTTTTTTTTTTTAAATGAAAACAAACATTTATACACAATATTTGGGAATTTGGGCGTCGTTCTTTCCAAACTACTTCCTGCTGGTAAGGGGCGCTGTCTTGGGGGATTTGAAGAAGATTCAGATATCCTAGCTGTAGTCTGTAGGGCTGTTTTGTCCAGCTGTTTGGAATGTAGGCTCAGCTTGTACTCTGTTTCAGGCGGTCTGGTGTGATCAAACCACATTAGTCTGGAAGGAATCCACATCTTTTCATTTTCTGTGGAAACAAAAATAGAAATACTTTTCCCCAGTAACTTGTTCTTCAACTTAAATTTTGGAGTCAAAGCGTTTTTTTTTTTTTTTTTTTTTTTTTTTTATTATTATTATTTTACATGTCGATCCCAGTTCCCTCTCCCTCCCTCCCTCCCTCCCCCCAAGCCCTCCCTCCCTCCTTCCCTCCCTTTTGCCCTCTCTACCCTCTCCCATGCACTCTAAACACCCTCCCCTCCCAACCCCCCACCACAATACAATATGTAGGGGAATGCCATCCAGTTGGGGTCATGTAGATCTGACAGGTCCTGTGAAGTAGGGACTAGGGCTTCTCTCCTATCTCTAGAATAAGGCAGTTATCCCTCCATGGGGGATATGTTTGCAAAGTCCTTTTGTGCACCAGGGATACATCCTGGCTCCACTGTCTGAGGTCTCTTAGAACTGCTCAGACCTTCTGGCTGAGACCCATATTCAGGGGGGTCCGAGTCAGACCCCTGTTCAGCCCCCCTTTTTTTGAGACATGATTTCTCTGTAGCTTTGGAGCCTGTTTTGGAACTTGCTGTGTAGACCAAGCTGGCCTTGAACTCACAGAGATTCACCTGTCTCTGCCTCCCAAGGCTGGGATTAGAGGCATGCACTACCACTGATATTCACTATATAATATTGGCTGATGATCTAGGTTCACCTTGAAGTAAATCAAAGAAGCACCCATAAAATGACTGGACCAAGTGAGCCCTCTGCTAATCATTATATCTCCCGAAGGAGGCAAAGCCAGGTCATCAAGATGGCTTGTTTTATTTTATTTTCCCTGTATTAAGGAGGCAATAGCAAGTCTCCAAAATATTTTGAATTAGGATGGATATTTTTTTTGTGTATGATTAATTTTGTTCTAAAAATGAAAAATAACAGATGAGGGTAAAACCATGAACAATATCTATGTAATATATGTTTGATGATTAAGTCCTATAAATTCCTAAAGTTATAATTATCTATTCAAGTTAACAAAACCTGACTTAAAGAGGTATGTCTAGTCACTTACGCCTTTGCTAATTTTGTTAAACTTTAGCTATCTGATGAAACAAGTCATATTTTAAAAACTGACATTTTATAAAGATACACTATAAAATGATCAGGAAGCTAAGGTTCCCCATCTCTCTCTGGGCTATATTTATAGTTTAAAGTTTATATTTGATGTAGTGCCCGCGCTACAATCTGTTCCACTAATCAGGTGAAGGCCTAGAGATGTAAATAAGAGACAAGGTAGTGGGTATTCATTCAAGAGCAATGTCAAATGCTGAATGCCGAATGCCGACTGCTGTTTATTAAGGGGATGGGGTGGGCTTATATACTGACTCACAGCACAGTGGAAAATAACCCAGGATCAAGAGTTCGAGTTTTCAGGCTTAGCTCCTCAGCAGCAGATACGTGTTAGTGAAACAGGAAGAGTACCAATAACAACTGGGGATGGGAAGGGTGTGTGAGTGGGGGTGGGGGCAAGGAGTTCCAGCCAACGGCTTCAGGCTTGCTCAAGGTGCCTCGGGGGTCCATGCAGGGCCCTACAATTTGATACTAGAGGATCTTTAATTCAAGAATTATAATTTTTAAGACTCAAACTTAATAGGAATAAAATTGTAAAATCCTAATCTTATAAAAGGTACCAACTTGAGCTGACCAGTGGTGACGGGGTAGCCTTTAATCCTAGCACTTGGGAGGCAGAGGCAGATGGATATCTGAGTTTGAGGACAGCCTGGTCCACAGAATGAGTTACAGGACAGTTAAGGCTATACAGAGAAACCCTGTCTTGAAAAAGAAAAGCAAACAAACAAATAAAAAAGTACCAACTTGTTGTAAACTGTTAAAGAGAATTAAGACATGCAAGTTAATGATCACCTTGATAAGTGATGGAAGTATTTAATGTGCTCAGAACTATGTAGTCATACTAAGTCAAATGTAATTCGTTTACAGAGACAAGCTTGGAGGGAGAGGCCAGTTTTTATTTCCCATAATATAGTATTCCATGTCTGTTGGCAAAATTAAGCCTAAAGCAAGTAAAGCAAAACAAGTTTAAAGTAACTGTTAAAATCAAAAGGTTAAAGTTAATGTTAAATAATATTCAAAATCCGGTATATAAAAATTGGTTATAAGAATTAAATGCTCGAGTAAGATGGGTTAAATTTACAATAAATTTACATGGCAGGGAGTCCTTAGGCTCAAGTAGTTCCACTGGATGGAGCACCATTCCACCAGAGTAGGTTTTGAGCTAGCCACATTACAGGACAAGGATACATGGGGAAGAAGACCTGCCAGAAGTCTGTTGCTTTCACCTCCAGCTGTGTAGACCTCCCAGCTCTGGCTGTGTAGGCCTGATCAGCTCTGGCCATTTTTGGCCAAACCAGGAAAGACCATCCTTATCTAAAGATGAATTATTCTTCACATCTCACCTGACAGGGGAAATGGATTCTTTTACCCAGTAGGGGTTCTCAGAGTTCATACCCATGTCCTAAATGTCTCAAACAACAGAGAGGCAAATAACAATCACTCTGCCCTCAATGTCTCCCAAATTGGCATATGAGGATGCTATGACCATGGCAGCCTTTGTGCAAGCCTACCACCCAACTGGTATGGGACATGCATACTTGTTCAACTGACCATGCCCTTTATCCAGTTTTTTATCTTAGCAAAAGCTAATTTCAGTCTATACCCTAATCTGCCATAGTCCATGATGAAAGGAAGATGCCAGATACTGTCTTCAACCACACACCTTTGGAGACTTTTAGAGTATCCAAACAGTGTCTTAGACAGTTGGTTTTATATCTGTGGAGTAAGCAAACCCTCAGATTCTTCAGGAGGAGATAACTTCAATAAAGGAGGTTCTCTTCAACTTGGGCTCACTCGTGGTGCCTTGACAATACAATCTTGTCTCTACCTAGATAGGGAGCTCCAGGACCTGCACCTTCACTCTCTAAATCATAAAGTCTAGAAGGCAATGAGCTTGTGTATATTTCCTAAGAAATTCCAATTCCAAAAGCTAAAAGCTCATTTAATTTGGTTATTGGGGTTTCTATTGCTGTGAAGAGACACCATGACCATGGCAACTCTTATAAAGGAAACATTTAATTGGGGTGGCTCCTTACAGTTTCAGAAGTTCAATCTGTTATCATCATGAGAGGGAGCATGGCAGTGTACTGGCAGACATGGTGCTGGAGTAGTAGCTGAGAGTCCTACACCTTGTGGGCAACAGGAAGTCGACTGAGACACTGGGAAGTATCTTGAGCATAGGAAACCTCAAAGCCCACCCTACAGTGACACATTACCTCCATCAAGGACATACTACAACAAAGCCACAACTCCTAATAGTGCCACTCCCTATGAGATTATGGGGACCAATTACATTGAAACTACTACATCTTGCTCTACTAACTGTGCCTCTAAATGAATAGGATGATGTGAAGAAAGCATACTGATAAGCTTATTGTTATCAGTATGTGGTGATCTAGAGATTTGTAGAGAACTGGCTTTTCCTTCTTTAATCCAGTCCATGTTATATGCCAGTTATTACAGATGTAACAACTGACTGCTTTCATCTGTTGGTTTAGTGTATGGATTGAAAATACGATTTTTTTAAAAAGGTTCATTTAATAGGGTTAATTTTAGGGAAACATTCTGATTTTTCACAGTAACCTTTGTAAAGTGAATCATT